ATTTTCTTCCTTCTTCTCCTCCTTCTTCTTTCAACAGAACAAGAACAAATAAATACCTATTTCTATGTCCCTTCAGTTACTCTTTAGGGTATTAACAGATGAGGATAACCTCCAAACAGAGAATGAAATAGTCCTTTCTCTACATACATCTGTATCTAGCATCTCAGAACATAAATTGTGTGGGGCCTGTGGACAGAGGTTGGTAAGGATGGTAGAGATACTTTCAAAGCCAGAATAAAAAAGAAGTGTGCACACACTAAAACACACATTTTTAAGTGTGCACACATCAAAACACACATTTTGTTTTAATGCTGTGTTTTCCCCTTTGTTTGTCATATGCCTGTATCCTTCTGGATGGCTTAATCAAGGACAGGAAGGTCAAATGCTGTTCTCGAAACTCTCTGCTGTAACAGAACATAATGAATAGCCTCCCTAAACAGCCTGGTTCTTTTTTTATAACATGAAGTAAGTTCTCCTCCCATGGACCCTAAACTCCTCTCTACACTTTCACTCTGTCTCTGTCCTTTCTCTAAGAATAGAAAGAATCAACAGTGGGACAGTAGTGAACATAAGTATTGGAATTGAATGTGTAGTATGGTTGGGTGCTACACAGTTTTTGGGTGGAATTTCGTCTGCCATTTGTTCTGTACAAATGTTTGAGTACCTCTGAGTGTTTGCATTTTATAGGACATGAATCTGAATCACCATGTTGGATGCGTCCTTGAGTTTAATCCTCGAGGGAGTGAAGGAGGCAAGACTTGAACATTGTTTGACCCCAGATTTGTGTGAAGTATATTAGGATTTTTAAGGTTTTCCAGTCAAGGGAAAGAGTGATAAGGTACAACTTGAGTGGTGGCTGCAGAGCAGGCTAGGGAACTGTAGGAGATTTGGAACTCTATTTACCAAGTTTCAGTGCACAGCCCAGTTATGTGTGGTGGGTGTTAAGATACATTTCTGGCCCTGTTTCCATAGTTGTTGCTGTCTAGCAGATTCCCACACAAGTCCGTGGAGAGTCACTGAGGCAGGCCAGACCTTCTAAAAACCCCGTGGCAAGCACAGAGGGCTTCTGCCATCTCATTTTAAATGGGTGTCCCCATCTTTTTGTATCTAATTACTTTCCTTGAAACTAAAGTCTCCCAGGATAAGACTAGACATGTGAACACCATTGGTTCCTCACCCCTTTAAGTAAGATAGTCAAAAAGTCAGGTGATTGAAAGACTGATCCAGTGTTAAAGTACAAAGAGTTGCAAAGCACAAGGGTGGAGAGCCTCTTCCACGTATCCAAAGTTATCCAGCTTTAGCTTGTTAAATAATAGCAGAGAGATGTGTCTATCCTCAACTTAGACACCCAGGAAATAAATTGTATACTGTGAAAGGAAAGACTTGGTGTACGAAAACATAGACAAACACAAAACCAGCAAATCTAGCAATATAAAACTTTCAACCACTCCTCTCCCTGATAGTCCATAATTCACATTCCAGGCATTCATTATGGATACATATGGAGAAAAGGGCATGTCGTTCTAATTTAGGGGTCCAACTGTTACCTACATAGAGGAGGTAATACCTGCCTCCTCAGAACTATTCATGGTGAGCAGACAAGCAGATACAACATATGCTAAAGGAACAAAAATAAGAAGCTTCCTGACTCAGAGGAGTAACAATAATGAGGTAGAGAGAGTGAAGGATGCTGGTAGACTGATTGAGGTAGTTTGAATTTTATGTAAAGCTCTTACCATAATTGACTTCCTACAGGAGATATTTACAATATCTGACTTCAGAGATACTCACAAGATCTGATGCTTGGCATATGTTTAATCTATACATCAGTAGAACATGCTGCCGCCGCCGCTGTTATCATCATCATTATTGTTATGTTATTTTACTTTTAATTAAACAAAGGCTAGCAAGTGGCATGGCACTATAAGAAAACTTGACAATTTTGAGACTGATTTTTGATAACACTCTGATACATGAGAGGAAGGAAACAAGACTTATTCAGAAACACTTTGGTGTTTTGTTTGTTTGTTTGTTTTGGCACAAGGGGTGGCCCTGGGACCTAGCACAGACAGTAGTAATAGAGGAGTATGAGTGAGACCAGGTGATATAACAGCATACCACAGGCTGTCTGGCTTAAGCAACAGAAACACATTTTTCATAGTTCCAGAGGCCATGTCAAGGTGCTGGCTGGCAGATTATAATCCTGCTCTTTTGGGCACCCTCTTCTTGCTGTGTCCTCACTTGGGTGGGGTTGTTATGACCCGGACTGGGAGATAAGAAGCTCCTTGGCTTCTCTTACAAGGATCTAACCCCATTTTATCAGAACAGTATCAATCAAGTAATTAGCTCACAGAATCTCAGCTGAGCCTAGGGCCTTAGCATAGGAAGGAGGTGGAGGTCACAACTTAGCTATAGGAAGGAATAAAATCAGTGGTTTGTCTGTTTCTTGTATGTACTTGGTGAGACATGGATGGGCTTGGAGAATCCCTCTAGATGTCAGATTTGGCGACTGGAGAGCTGATGGACACCACTTAGAGAAAAATGTGAAATTTACTTGGAGTATGCATATGTTCTATCAAAGTTGTTTTTGTTCTAATAGGTTTTTGTGAAGGCTAATGACCTTGTGACATTTGGAGTTTAGTTTACCCCAAAGGACAGTGCTTATGATCCTTTAACATTATTAACCAGTACATTGTGCTTGTACTTTATAACAAGCTGAATTCTATATTCACTTATTTTATACACCATAGCAATTAGTTCCAGCCAGCGTCCTGGAAATGAAAAGGAACCATGCACAAGCATCTACAAAGTAAAGTGGTTTATATTTGGTAGTGCAAGTTAGCTCTGTGCCCTTTAAACCCCGCCCCCTCCCCCACGCATTTTCTGCTTTCTTTTATTGCATGTTAACTTCTCTGCTTCTGTAGTGAGGCCTGATGACAATGGACATTCTCTCCCAGAGCTCTTCCCTGTTTGACGGTGTCTGCTGATTTGTTCTTAATATTTAAGGAGATAGTTTATGAATATTTGTTCCCTCCTATATGCTGAGTCTATGGAGAACCATAGCAGATGTGATTTCCAGAGACATTGCAGAAAGGAAATTGCTTAGGGAATTTTACCTTTTTTTTTTAAATGTTATGTTAACTTTTATGTGATTATTTTCTTTTCCTTGAAGCATAAGATACAGAGATCCACATACATCTAGAACTGTGATAAATTAGTTTCTTTTAAAAACCCATGATGCTAGGACCGGCGGCACCCATCTGTAATGACTAGCCACTGTAGCTTCAGAGAGTTGGACTTAGGACTAGTTCAAAGCCAGCTTAGTCAACACAGTGAGATCCTTCAAGCTTTATTAAAAAGCATAAAGGGCTGGGGGTGTAGCTCCATTACAGAGTGCTCATGTAGCATAGAGGAGGACCTGGGGTCCAAGTTTACTACTAAAAAATGGAAAAAGAAGAAACAAGTAAGGAAACAACAACAAAAAGCAAAAAGCTTTGTTTGGGAGAAAATTGAACCTGCTACTAGATTCTGCTATGAACACATTGAGAGAAAACATTACCTTTAAACTTTGACATTTCACCCTCTTATTACTGTTTTTCCTGTTAACGAATATTCTTAGAAATCACCTAATTATTATTCAGCTGGTCTTACCTTGAATGTTAATATTGACAACGCATAATGACACCTGCTCTTTTAAAATGTAAGGAGCAATGGGGTCTGCCTGCTTTATTTAAGGGTCAGAAACTGTAGTGGAAGTTGTTCATATTGAGCAACTCTTATGCAAAATTACCAGGGGACAGGAGTCCCGCAAGGAGACCAACAAAGCTAAAAAAAATCTGAGCCCAGGTGGTGCTACAGAGACTGATGCACCAACCAAAGACCGTGCATGGAGAGGACCTAGACCACCTGCTCAGATGTAGCCCATGGGCAGCTCAGTCTTCATGTGGGTACCCGAGTAAGGGGAGCTTGGGCTGCCTCTGTCATGAACTCAATTGCCTGCTTTTTGATCATTTGCCCCATGACAATGGGGCCTTTCCAGGCCGCAGAGGAAGAGTATCCAGGCAGTTCTGAGGAGACTTGATCAAGGCAGAGATGGCAGAGGAGGAGAACTCCCCCTTTCAGTGGACTAAGAGAAGGGGATAGGGGAAGAGGGAAGGGAGGAAGGACAGGGAGGACAGGGAGGAGATGAGGGAAAGGGCTTCATTTGGGATATATGATGAATGAATAAATTATATAAATAAAAATAAAACAAGAAAAATTACCAGGAGCTTAGACATCAAGAGTATAATCTGCCAGTGCCTTTTGGGGTGCTTATTTAATACACCTACCAGTGAATATTTAATATCAATTCTAAAGTCTGTGTCTGACTGGTTGTTTACTATTTGACTAGAATAGTCTTTGGAAGTTGACTGTAACACCTGTAGTTTTTGTTTTTTTTTCCCCAGAGAAGTAATACTTTCAGAAACTGTGTTGCCCTTTTATATAGACTGTTAACCAGGTCTTTATCCTGCCCAGCTGTGCTACTCTATTTCTTGGAATGCTTATTAAGCTGTTTTGTTTGTTTGTTTGTTTTTGTTTTTTGTTTTGTTTTGTTTGGTGAACAGTAGCAACTGTTCCACAATGCCTTGAGAACCAGAACCATGCTTTTATCAGTTAATGATATTTGTGACATGTATATACTATATTTTTGAGACTCATTTTCTTTTCTTTAAAAATTTATTTTAACAGTATTCGTGCCCTGAAACCAGCTTCCAAGGCCACCAAAGAGCCCAGTCTCAGCAGGTGCCAATTGTTACCTTAGTCTCTGTTTTGTTTCCACGGGTGAATTTAAACTAAGACCTGACCTGTGAATGACACTTGGGGAAAAGCATTGGCTTGGCATGTCTCAAGGTTTTGGTTCCGTTTCCATCACCACTAAAAGAAACTATGCATATCGTTTATTTATATGTATATATCAGTATATTTCATAATAATGAAAATATTCGAATTATTTTTCCCAGGCTTGAGTGCATGAACAGAAAATAACTTTGTTAAAAACTTCTGTCACAAGTGATAGAAGCCACGACCCGACCCATAAGACTACATCCCTGTCTGTGCCTCATCGTGCTGCCTTTTAGCACTCGGGTAGTAATGAAGCGACCATTATGTCCTCAGTCAGTGAAGTAAATGTGGACATCAGAGATTTTCTAACGAGCATCAATTTGGAGCAGTACCTCTTACATTTCCGTGAATTTGGTTTTTACACTGTGAAGGACTGTGCTTCGATAAATGAGAGTGTGCTACACCAAATCGGAATATCGCCTACAGGACACCGTAGGAGGATACTTAAACAGTTACAAATGATCTTTTCAAAAATGCAAGACATCCCGATATATGCAAATGTTCATAAAACAAAGAATGGCAGCTCCTCAAAAGAGCATCACGGTGTGGCATCTTCCAGCAGCAGCACCTGCACAGAATGTTCTGATTCCGTTAGCATCCCGAGACCTGGCCCGACAGCCTTGGAGACCTTTGAGAGTTCCCTTAGTGATGGAAATTGCCAGTCTCCTAAGTCACATGATAAGCTGTCTCTTTCTTCACATGACCCATCCTTTCAAGAAGAGCTACACCAGAATGTGGATTCTTCGCAAGATTCTTTATTTGGTAGTGTAAATGTTAAAATAGATTCTTTGATTACCAAGAAGGCTGTGGATTGCACAGCTGTGGAAGAACAAACGGAAAAAGACAACTTAATATCAGAAAATTCCAGCAATGCTCTTAGCACAAACCCTGAATGCCTTCCCTCTGTGGATTATCCAACATCAGAAACGCATTCTAGAAATGGAACTAATGGCTTATTAGAAAACTCCACACCGTCCCCGTTCTTCCAGTTTCGAGGAGAGATGGTTGTGAATGATCTGTACGTTCCATCCTCACCAGTCCACACACCCATGAGAAGCCGGAGCAAGCTGGTTTCCAGACCTTCTCGATCATTTCTGCTGAGACACCGGCCTGTACCAGAGATCCCAGGGTCAACAAAAGTAACATCTGGGAGGTAAGGGTTGTTACAGAAACCTTGCGTATTCAATATGAGAGACTTTACTTATTTTTAGCAACAATATTTTCAGCATTCCTTTCTAAGACTGACCTCTGCATATTTCACTGTCCATTGCTTGTTTGTTGTTTTGTTTTTAAGACATTTTACCCCCAGCTTGTTTGTACTGCATGTAGCTCCCAAGAGTCTATTTCTAGAACATACGTAGCTATAGGAGACTGTTGCCTTCCCAGGTTTCACTGGGAGAACATGCGTTCCTCATGATCCTCCTGGATAGTTCTTTCTTTAGCCTCTCTCCTATTGTGTTGTGGTCCGTTGGCACAGATCACAAATTTGAGTTGCTGACTGTATCTCTTCACCTCATTATTTATTCTTTGGCAGGGTATGTACTTTTAAAGCCAGCCTCTCGTTGCCTGGCACGGTGCTTGGCACCAATTAATAATTCAACACAAATCTGTTGAATTTGGAAGTGTTTGTGCTAGGCTGGAGGATATAGAAAAGGAAAAGCCTTTCAGTCTAGTGAGGAAAAAACAATTGTAAAAAGATGGTGGAAGTACAGTATGAAGCCATGTCCATGGACCTCAGAACTCTGGAACCTCAAGGAGCGGGGTCGTCCAGACACTGGTGCAGGTATTCTGAGGTGGCTAGACAGTGTCAGAGAAGCTTACAGCAGAGAGAACTTCCCCCATTTATCAGTTATTCTTAAATAGTTGGGTTCTTCCCAGGGAAGGGTGGGGTGACCCACCCATGTTTCTGCTGGGAAGTGAGGTGTGATTCAGGCTTGATGGCTCTTGTAGGCTTTCTGCATACACCGCAGGCCGACAGCTCCAGCAGAGGCTTCTTCCCAGCCCGAATCTGGCTGCATGAGTTTTTTTGACCTGTCAGACCCTTGGCAATTGAAATTGTATTTGCAAGAGAAGAAGTAAGAAGACATCCTGGTGCGGTGTAGCAATTTACGTCTTGGTTGAATTTAAGTATTTCACAGACCCTGATTAACTTCTCCTTGCTGTAATAGGCCTGAAACCAATAGCAAAGTCTGTTTTCTGAGAGTCAGCAGTAAAACTATCAGCTATAAAATATGCGGGCCGTAGCCTGCTCTATAATTTTCAGTCTGTTGTCCATTCTTCACAGAGACCCTGGACATAGAGATGGCTCTCTCTGTGTTACTCATTAAGTAGAAATCTTAGGTTCATTGTCTTAGGATCTCAGGGTCAGCGAATGAAGATTTCATTCCACAGAAGTGTCTATGCCATCAGACCGGTGAAACCTGGTGTTAATAATGCCATTTAAGTGACATTATTATAAGCTTCTAGCTTGCTCTATAATGTCCAGAACCCAATCCCCTTTTTTCTTCTTTTTGCCATTCAGTGTTTATTTTATTTTATTTTTTTAGAAAGACTAGGGGATACACCCAAAATAACTTGAGTTTAAAAATCACCATAACGAAATAGCAGAGGAACATGACTACTGTAGAAGAAAGACAACAAATGAAGCAGACAGTACACCCCTTCTTATGTCCAGTTACTGGAATATGTCGACTGAGAATTTAGCATAACAAGTGTATCTTGAGATGATAAAGTAAGATGTTCACATATGGATGAAAGCCCGTCATGACCGCAGATAAACTCAGTAGTGCAACCAGGACCTTTACCACCTCCTTTATTGCAGTTATTAATATTTCAATAATATGGCACTTTTCTTTTTTTTCTTTTTTAAAATTTTTTATTAATCACACTTTATTCATTTTGTATCCCCCCATAAGCCCCTCCCTCCTCCCCTCCAATTCCACCCTCCCTCCCCTTTCTGCATGCCTGCCACTCCCCAAGTCCACTGATAGGGGAGGTCCTCCTCTCCTTTTTGGTCTTAGCACTTTTCTTTACAATTGCATCATTTCTTCCTCTCTCTTTCCCTTTTTAAAACTTCCCATAATCTCCTTCTTGCTCTCTTTCAAAATCATGGCCTCTTTTTCACTGACTGTTATATGTGCATATATGTATATGGATTCCTAAGTACAACCTACTCAGTCTTTATGGTACTTGTTCGTATTGACTGTCTGGTATTGGAGAGCAGGTTGTGTGCTCCTCCCTGAGGCAGTCTGCCTCTCACACCCTCGGCACTCCTGTTACCTGCACAGTTCTTGGTACAGGGCTGAGGCCTTTGGAGCCCTTCCACCCCCAGTCTACTTTGTCATGTCTGTTGTTGTTACCCTTGCTCAGACCATGTTCAGCCCGTCAAATTAGTAAGACTTCATGGGTGTGGCTTCTGCAATTACCTGGAAGCGCAGCCTCACATCAAACTCTCTGATCCTCTGGCTCTTACAGTCTTTCTGGTTCCTCTTCTGCAGTGTTGCGTAACCCTTAGGTATGGAGTTTGTTTTGTGGATGTGTCCAGGGTTTGGGCTCCAGAGCTCTGCATTTCGATTGGCTATAGTTTTCTATAATAGTCTCTGTCTGTTGCATTGAGAAGTTTCTCTGGTGAGGGTGAGGACTGCACATTTCTGGGTTTAAGCACAAATACAGTAGTCGGCGGGGATTATGCCAGTTTAGTAAAGTAACACGAGCAGGTTCTCTTCCAGGGCCCATGGCTTCACCAGCCCTGGGCAGTTGCTAGGCCCATTCCCAGGCCTGCTTTACCGCTTGCTGAGTGGGTCTTAAGACTAATTACAGAGCTGCTGGCTACCACCAAGGTATTCACACCACTGCCATACCCTTTGGTTATCATACCATGCGAGTTATGGTAGGACTTCTTAATATTGATTTTCCAAAAAGGTTTTACTGCATGTGTAAGAATTTGACTCAAGTTTATATATCACTCATTATATAACCTTCTACCTTTCAAATGTTTGCTAAATTTGAACAGGTTTAGCATTAAATGAATGGTGGAATAAGAGGAGAAAGCATCACAAACGGTTCCAGGCACAGGAACCCTCGCACAGGAGAAAGGGATAAGACAGTGAGAACCCTTACAAATTAAATGGGGCAAAGGGCAACCAGTTGATAGATAACTAACTCCATGTAAGTGTAAGCAAAAGCTAAGGGTTCTTCATTCATGAAGTCCAGACCAATTACTCCGAGTCTAGTGGCATCTCCACATCAGTCCTTGATGGTAAGGGTGCTCTTCCCTTCACTGGGAAATTTCATCTTCTGCTTTTAAGAAGTCATGCCAAGGTGAGAGCACTGCCCTCCCACCCGATGGTTTTAAAACATGCATGACGTGCCTCAGTCTAAACTTCTCCAAATGCCAGAGTGGTATAGTTTTGACTCCTTTGGATAGAAAGTGTCTCTGCGTCATATGAAAGCCTCTTGATATTAAAAATGAGAACCTTTAAAAATTAGAAGTAACATAACATCGAGATTTGTTATAAACTAATGTCCGTGTAGTGTTCACAGTGTGGTTTTCAGACTTGGTCATTGAAGTCTCTATTTTCTTCTCTCGTGGAGTAAAGAGAAATAGAGACATAATGAGGAGTGGGGAGCGCTGAGGTGAGGCCATTTGGTGGTGTTTTCCTAGCATGCAAGAAGCTGGGTTAGATGATCCTCAGCACGGAGTAAGCCAGGTGCATGCCTGCTTTCTGGGCTGCTGGGATGTACTCAGTTCCTAAAAGGAGAACCAAATAAAAACATGTCCCAAAGGTCACTGTTTTTCCTTGTGGTCCTCTGTATTATAGAGGCTCTCGTGCAGTTTCACAGCGCTGTAATATGACCTATCCACCACAGCTGTGGATTAAAGAATGGTAGTTTCTCTTTGGCCAAATAATAATATTTACAAAAGATATTACATGCAAGTTTGGTGCCCGATAACAATATTTTTTCATCTTCTCCCTTTGTCCTCTCTCCTAACTTATCAGACACAGTTGACATTCTGGTTCAGTTTTTCTTTTCTTGCCTTGACTTGTTTCTGAATTCACATCTGTTCCTTTTCTCTGGAGGGTAGGTCTAGTGTGTGTGGGGGAGCAGGGAATGTCTTGATGCTTTCCTTCTTTTCTGTCTTGACTTTGAGTTGATGCTGTGGAGCCTAGAGCAGACATTGTGACTAGCCTCTTTTTTTGGTTTCGCCTGGGAATTCTGGGAGTGTCCTCTGATCCCATGTAGGATTGTCCTGAGGAAAATAGAATATGTGTCTTAGAAACTGAAAGAAATGTGTTCTTTTTCTCTCCTTCAGTTTAATGGTTTTTGTGCGTAGTTCAGGAAACTGTTTGGTACTTGGCACAGCTTGCGGAAGCCCTTCTTTTGGATAAAGTATCTTTAGAGTGTTTAAAGAAGAGGAAAAGGCAGATTTGGCAGTCATGGGAAAGAAAGGGGCGGTGTAGAGCTGAGAGGTGATGGAGATCTATCTTCCCCAGAACAGATAAAATCCAGACTTGCCATTTCCGCAGCTTTTGAATTTCTAGCAAACCATGGTGATTCATGTGTGTAAACCCAGTCCTCTAGAGGCAGAAGCTAGGAGGATTTTAGGTTCCAGATCAGGCTTGGCTACGTAGTGAGAGTCCATCTTAGATAAGGAAAACAACACAGACTTCTTCACTATGTGGAAGACTATCTTATATACTTTGATAGCAAAATGCCCAGAAAGCATAAAGGAGAGTAATTACTTTAGTAATTTACTAATAATTACTAATAAAATTAGTAATTTTATAAACTCATTTGTTTTTGAAGCAAAGTTAGAGTTTGTCGAGAAAAAGTGTTCATAAAGATTTACACTTGATATGGGAAGAGTAAGAATCTGGCGGAAAGAAGGGGTAGGCTGGAGCATGCACACACCCCGGAAGGTAAGTGTGCAGGCATTTTAAGATACAGAAATCCCGCTAATCTGTCATTGCAGAGCTTGGATAGCTCTCGTTATGAGGTTTGGACTGATTTTGTTTGTGTGTATGCACACGTGTGTCTGTGTGTGTGTCTATGTGTGTATGTGTATTGTTTCATTGGTGCTGAGGATGAGCCTAGGAGGGGCCACTGCATGCTAGACAAATGTTCTATCACAGAACCGTCTTTTATTTTTAC